AAATTCAAAGAACCTATTGCAATAAAACGGCAATTTCATACTTTAACACCTATAAAGAGGAAACATCATATTATTAAAATAAGAATAAAGAAGGCAAAAACGCAAATTAGTGATCATTAAAACGTCCGTCATTATCACGGAAGAAAACATATTTTGTGCTATTCAGTCAAAGAGTATTGCTGTATTCAGTCGTAACAAATCCTCCTGGTAAGTACTACAGTCTCAATCTAAGACGTTTGAAACAAATATTGTAAATGTTAAATGTATTCAAATCTATATTTAAACGAGCAACCCCACAGTTTCTTGCTCTTCTTCTCAGGGGATTCAGTCTTACGAATGAGCAGTAGAGTTTAATTAACATGACATTTTTAAGTGTAATTTGCTTACCTATGAAATATATTATTTGAATTTTGGATTTTTTTTTAATTCTACCAAGAGTAAATAAAAATAAATAACGTACACACTCAAAGACTAAGGAAACCCTGTGTCACGGATGTCACACAAGTTACATCCAAACTCAGGAGACAAACAAATGTAGACCATACACATATTTCTCCCGGCCCGGAAATCGAACCCGTTACCTCTGCGTGGTAGACCAGCCTGGCAACTGGTCGGCCATAGAGGCTGTTAAAAAAGTAACATGTCAACTTTTTTAAACTTAGATATAAGTATTAGATACTAACTTGCGGCAGAAGCACTTATTGGCGGGCACGGCACTTTTCGCCGCAAGCGCAGACTCCGATATCTCATAGTAATACGACGATATATTGAAGATGTTCCTCTTGCCGACTAGACTTGCATACAACGACCTGAGAATATCATGAAATATGTAATAACGTAAGTGACAACCACACCAATTCCCATGTCTCAAATTAGGGGATTTCCAGTACTATGAGTACCAGTCATTTCGGAGCGTAACCTGGAATAGCCAGACCAGAAGCTATGTTAATTTGCCAAATTGGAATCGAACCTGGAACCCCTCCTCTCGTGTTTACAGTGCGAATCGTTGGGGCTCCGAGATCGTCAAAATATTGGTCGACAGGTCAGCAAGCGAGCAGGCTAGAGTGCAAAACTATAAGAACTCTATAAAATAGAGCTTGTGTATACCAGTTATGACGAGCACGTAAGAGGATTACCAAGAATTATTGTCTAACGCCAAAACAGTTTGCAGGTATTTTCAACATAATGTAGATTTTAGTAGCAACAAAAAATTAAGAAAATAAATGTAAGTTATTAAGTGCAAATTACCAAAGTTAAGCATGTGTCCAAAATATAAAAAAATCTTAGGTCGAGTGGACTTATGCTTTTGTGCTTATAAAATATTTGCAAATTTGAAAATTTATACTCAATTATCAGTGTTGCCAAGTGAGTGACTGGTCCATGGTGTCACATATGTATACATACCAATAGATACGTAGGTACTTAATATACAAAAACTTGCACTCTTACCTGCAAATATCGGGTTCAAAGCTATACAATCGCTTTGGAACGTCGTTCGGGTTGATGGGAGGGAATATAGTAGAATCTGAACCATTGAGCATGCCGCAATATTTATCGCCCCACTGGTTCATCACCTTTTTTCCTTTATAAGACACTATATGGCCTAAGTCGTAAACGTTATCAGTACCACGTATCATCTCGTATGGACCCGTATCCGTTCTGTTTAACTGCAAAAGTTCAGATAATTGTATCAATTTATTAATATAAAAATCGAACATAAAGAAAAATTCGACGAAATAAGGGCCGTCCACCCCTGGCAACTCATCAGGTAAATGGGCCTTATACATATCACTTTTAAATATGAACTCTCATAGTAATTAAATATGTAATTTTTCAATTTTTGTCCATTATAGCAGTGCTCAAGTTAAAATGGTCGATTTGAAGTGAAAGAATTGACAACACCCGTCAATTGTTTCGAAATCGGGCTGGCCAATCGGAGCGCAGTTGTCACCGTAATGATTTGGCAGAATAGATTTCAAACAAATTAAACGACATTTCGTCTCTATTTTTGGTTATATACTCGATGCTAAATGGTAATGGTATCAAGTTCGGAGTGTGACACTTAGCGTGTCGTAGGTTTGCTGTTAATACATAGTTTCAATTAGGTATCTCTTGCAATAACAGTGAAAAAGATCGAATCCCCACCACGCCCTGCCGCTTCGTAAATATAATATTGTTTGTGTATTGGTGCTCTTTCAAAATTCTACAAGTGGGTTTACAGTAATCACGAATTTACTTTACTTACTACAGTTTTGAAGTGGACGATACACGATATTTGCTAGTGAAATTAGTGTGTCGCTAAGAGTAAAACTGTAAGCGCAATTAATGATTTATATAGCTTTTTTTTGGTGCAAAACATTAGGAACATTCGCCGCTGAGACCGATCATTGGTCCGTAAAGTCATTTAGCTTTGGTATTGCTGTGAGTTCGTTGATCGCTCCTGCTGTCGTGCTTTTTCGGCCATCTTCGCACTAGCTCGCTTGACCGCTCGTCGCTTATACCATGCCTTTCGTACAATCTCTAAACACTACAGCACTTAGAATAGACCAGTTCGAAGCCTTGTTGGATCATAACTTAGATATACGACATTGCCATTAGACATTGCACAAGAAGTTCACTCAATGGTAATGAAGGATGTTAATGGCACAATAAATAGATTAGAAAAAATTTTATTGAAACCACAAACTACGTACAAAGAGGGCAAACTAGCTAACCGCAATAAAATAAAGGTTTTGAGGTTTGATAGGTCTGTCTTGCAATCTGATATTGCATCCATGGACCATCGTCTTGAGACGATTGAAAAGACATCACGAAGTCATGGAACTAGAAAATATAATGTTCAACATTATAAAAAACTGTGAATCTCCTTTGGAAGCATTTAACATTTGCAACGTACGTAGAGTGGCTAAGCTCGATCCTAAATCTGAAAGATAGCCCATTATTCCACTTACTCTGCAATCAGAACGATCAAGAGATGACTTGCTACTCGCGGTGATGGCATTGCAACAAGGCGAGTTGCTCCAATACACTGAACTTTACGTTTAGGAATGGAGTCTGTAGAAGTATAGTTACCGAACATTTTTGTCACAAAAAAACTTCACACTGAGACACGAATATTCGCAAAAGATCACGCATACACATACGTTTGGGTAAAATATTATGTTGCTTGTTTACATGAGGAAAGACGATAATGAATATGCTTATTATTGTATATTATTCTTGTATATTTTTTATATTACATAGTAACGGTATAGAACAAGTACAGAACAAAGCTATTAAAACTGTAGCATTTAGGTCAGGTCTAAGTGGCACGCTTGTAACTTACCGAGAGAGGTTGGCTAAGTTTAGAATTTGGTCACTAAAGAACTCAGGACATTCTGCACTTGCACAAGCTCATACACGGTAACTTTGTTTCTCCGAGTCTGCTATCCCACATTACCTTTAATATTAAACCAAAATATCGTCGCCCTAGAACTTTTGTTTTGAATGTTTAAAGAAATAACATAACCCTTTCACTAATGATTTATTGTATATTTCATGAAGTTAAAGCAAAGTCAAGAATTGGCTTTTAGCTTTAGATTACCATGAAACCGAAGCGTTACTGTAGTAATTGGTATCAATTTTATTATTATTTTTTAATTAAACCAAAAATTGTTCCTTATCTTAAAATTATAGCGAATGTTTTTTGTTTATGTGGCATTAATTTTCCATCACGAAATATTCCAATACCCACACTAACTCAGACAAACACATACACCCACACACACACACACACACACTCGTACACAAAATTACACAGATATATTTATCACAATTTGCATATTACAATGTATCCAACTTGTTATATAATTATTACTTAGAGTACTTTTTATCCAGACTTTTAATAATAGATTCTTTCACTTTATTTTTTTGTATTAAATTTTTAATTTATATTTTTCTCATGAAATAGACTTAAGCCTTGTCAAAATTTGGGAGAGGGCACTGGCTCCTGTCACACAGGTTATACCTAGCTCAGGAGTCAGGGACTTCATCAATATGTTGTAATCTATTTTGTGACAATAATAATAATAATTATTATTATTATATTATTGTACTTATTAGAATCTGGGGTCAAATTGATGTTTTCGACGACATACTTTGTACAATTCGTACAAATTTGCTCAATTACTTCGACTAGACTTCCCATTCATATAGTGAAATTAATATCTGTGTTAGTCTTTACTAACATTAATTTTACGTTTGTAATTTACTTTTCTTTAACCCTTATGTTAAACATGTTGACGCTTTGCATAATAACACTCTACAGGTTTAAATTCTAGATGAAGACCTTAAATTGTATCTCATATATATTCAACTGAATGTAAACTGCTTTGTATGTACAATCAATAAAATAAAAAATAAAAAATCGAGACGGAGAAAGTATCTTAACCAAGGATAACATTAAAAAAACTAAAGCCGCGTTTATATTTATCTGATGTGACATGTTGTAATGAGCTCTGACGTCAAGGCTAGCGTTCACATCTATGTATATGCCGTGTTCTGACGCCTTCTGATCATATTTTAAATTAATACTGTATCGCAGAGTTCATAAGTTTACTGATTCAGATTATGAAGAAGATATTCAATTTGTGATGATGACAACTATACTAAAAAAAAGAAAGAAAGAAAAAACATATTGGGTTCGTCCTTTGACAAAAAAAGAGAGGCTAAAGGCGAGGTTCACTGTCCCGTCAAAGAGCTTGAGAGCGATGATGAAAGATCTCATAAATATTTTAGAATGTCTAAGGCACTATTCGACTCTGACGCGTCACAACATAGAACTGGCGCTTGCACACTTGTCTGATCTGAAGTGACGCGGCCGCTACGACGCCTTACCCGTCCTGACGTAGGTCGGGATCGCTTCTGATGCGAAACAACACAAGCTGTCGCATGAGGTTGCTATAAATCTTACCATATTAAATGTATGAAATCGATAACGTTCTGACACGTCACGACACAACACGTCAGAAATATAAATCCGGCTATCCGCAATCCGGGCAAGGGCATTTGAGAAATATTTTTTTAATTTAAAAAATATAAGTAGTAGCATTTTAATATATACAAAAAAGTAATCTGTATTTTTGGTAACGTACTGTGGGATCTACTATTGAAGATATATTGAGAAACAGTAGGTATTATTTATTACTCACATGGGAGAACATGGAGAAATAAAATCCTTTTTCGTCTTCCGATGGTCGCATTGTCGGTGGCATGTCGGCTTTTATTTTACCGCATATCAGTGCTAAAGAAAATAGAATTTAAGAATCATGAAATGTTAAACGTATAAAATGTAGAGATAAATGGAGACACATTTGTAAAAACCAAAGCAATCGTTTTTATGTAAACAGCACATTTTGCCTCGTTTGTCGTTATATTCGCTCATGAAATTAAAGTTAAAACTGTTGAATCGCAAGCTTCGGATAAAGTCAGCGATTGAATTATAAGGGTAAGTGGAAACCAGCGGACGGGAAAGCAGAAAACATGAAAATCAATGTGCATTTTATGCTATTTCGGAAGAAATAGGGTACAAATTCCAATGCCATGAAACCGGCCTTGAAATAAAGCAGCGCATTTCTCTCTGCGGTATTGAAGAGCACGCTAGAATAATCCGTCGGAACCCACCTTCGGAATCTGCCTCAGTGAGTTTTTCCGACTGCGAGTCGCTAGCATGGAATTAAATCGGGCGACTGATAGCAGCATTTTCGCGGATGCCGCGGCATTCCAGCGGACTCTGCCGTACGCTGGCGGAGCATGTATTCCGTCGAACGTGCGAATAGGCCGGAGGTACGCAGATGTGAATTAACCTTAAGGGTCTTTGTAAGAGCTCCAAGAGAAATCTTGGACACGAGTTTCGGGGTATTGTCTTGTTACAATAGCATTCATAATCATTTCAGTCAGTTATAATTAATTATTAATACAAAGATTCAACTTAAAGAAAAATTTCTTCGATCTGGTTGGCCACGAACCGGCGATTTCACCATACCGTGGCTGACGCTTTCCCAACTGAGCTACGGAACGAACCAGCAGACGTTACTAATTTCGATATGTGCTTGTTTCAGATCTTCGTTTTTGGTTTTAACGCCTTTTCCCGTAATAACAAACTAATAGAGTAATTTCACAAAAATTGAATATCATGGTAGTAAAACCATCGTGATATTCAATAGACTTATCACTAGCAAAGTTAAGGATAACTATCAAATCACCTTAATTAGATAAATGCCTACTACTCACCCAAAGTAAAGTTCTCGCTTTCGCAGTTAAGATAAATGCCGTTGAAGAATAAATCCTTTACCTTCACGTGAAGGAAGGGATCCGTCAGGTTGAAGAAGAATTCTCCAAGAGCCTCGTTCGCCATGCCCACGAGGCTCGGCATCATATCATTAACAGCTAGTAAAGCTGCCTGTAAAAGAAAAATAGAAAATGCATTCTGACTTATAAAACATATAAGTTAAAGTGAGGAATCCTGGAAAAACGAGATTTTTGAGACAATATCATAGCCATACGTGAGGCGCACTATAAGTTCCCGGAATGAACAAGAAAAAAATACTATAAACGGTCAGAAATGAATTTATTGTTTCTCAAAATATTCTCCGTTAGCGTTAATGCACTTTTTCATACTAATGAAACAATTTTGAAAACATTTATGCCACTCTTCCATGACAATCTCCGAAACATATTTTTCATACCCTTCAACAGCCACTTAAATAGTTCTTAATTTTTGGAAATAAATAAAAGTCACAAGGTGCCAGGTCGAGACTGTACGCGGGATGGCTCATAAGGTCAACGTTGTTCACCTTCAAAAATTAATTTGTCTGTCTGGTCGTGTGAGAACTGGCATTATCGTGGTGCAAGATGATACGGCGATTACGGTTATTTTTATGGTGTTTGTCAATAACTTCCGGCAAACAAATGGTCGTGTTCCAATTACTATTCACGGTACAACGATTCTCCAAAACAACAGTAGCCACGTGTCCAGTTTTATTAAAAAAAGAAGCAATCATCCGCTTAGAGGCACTTTGCATGCACGCCACTTTGGTTGGTTTCCGCTCACGCCGAAAGACCCATACGCTCGATTGCTGCTTTGTTTTGGGATCGCAACTATAAATCCATGTTTCGTCACCTATTACTATGTCCCACACCACATTTGACGCCCCTTCGTTGAATATGGTAAGCATGGCATTGCACCAAGTGACGCGATCCGTTTTTTGAGCCTCAGTCAAATTGTGTGGTATCCATTGAGAGCTCAGCTTTTTCACACCCAAATGTTTGTGAAATAATGATTGTATTTGACTCATGCCTATGCCTAAAGATGACCGAATTTCATGGTATGTTACATGCCTGTCTGTTTTGATCATACGGCGCACAGCATCGATGTTTTTGTTGTTCACAGAAGTGGACGGGCAACCATCTCGAAATTCGTCACTGAGATTCACACGACCGCGTTTGAATTCTGCAAACCAGCTATAAATAGTCGTATTGCATGGTGCTTCACCGCCAAAAACAATGTGAAGCCAATCGAAGCTCCGCTGAGCTGTTCAAATCATACTACGAAAATTTTCACGAGTTAAATCCATGGTGATGTGGACAACCTATTTTCTAAAATGACGCCACAATGTAAAAACAAGTGACAGTGAAATGAAATAAACTGTATTCTAAAGCCAAAGAGTTCCATTTTCAAATGTTGTAACTACTTTTTAAATGTTATTTATGTAAGTAGCCAGTTCCGGAAACTTTCAGTGCGCCCTATGTACTATCGTTCTGCAACCTCCACAGGTTATAATAAGCTCCTTTCTGCAGTGTTGCTATGTTCAAGTAACCACTATAAAAAAATATTGTTAGTGCACTAGATTTATAATACTGTTTAATAAACTTACCTAAGAATCGATACTACCTCAGCTGGAATTCAAATTTTTCCCCTACTAATACGGTTGGTTCATTTTGCTAGGGTCGAGCGGCAGTGTGCCGGCTTTATTTCAGATTTCTTTCACAAACCAAATTAAAGCCATGTAAAAAATGTATATCGTATACCATAAGTATGTGTGCTATTTAGTTCAGTTGATATAAAAAAAATCCCAAGGTAAGTTTGTTTTTTTTTTCAATCGTGACTATTTTTAAGAACCGCGTTTTCACACCGTGTACTAATCAGTGTATATCCTCAATTTTACTATATACATACATATCATCACGTCTGTCTCCCACCGGGGTAGGCAGAGACTATGGACCTCCACTCGATACGCTCCTGACAAACTTCCTTCGCCTCCTCTACTCCCATCAATCTCTTTATACATGCCCGTTTATTCTTGGTACTTTTAACCCGGCCTTTTTACATCCTCAATCTGATTGCGATATGTTCACCGAGGTCTACCTACCTCTCACCACGCTTCCATAAACATTCGCTCTATAAATTTGTGCCGTCAATAGACCAACATGCATTATTTCTACATGACCAAACCATCGAAGCATCCCTCTCTCTATATTTGTCACTACATCATCTTTCATACCACAACGCTCTCTTACCTCACTCTTTGGCATTCTATCTTCAAGACTAATACCGCACATATTGCGCAAAGCTCTCATTTATACAACATTCACCCTACTTTCATGTTTTTTCTGTCACACCCAACACTCACTAACATACATTAAGATTGGGACCAGCACGCCTCGATGAACAGCCAAACGTGCCTGTTTTGTGACATTCTGGCTAACTATTAAAGCATACAGGGCTCCATTCACTCGATTTCCGGCTTGCACTCTCCTCTCAATATCCCTTTCACACTTACCATTTCACACTTACCATCTCTCTTATAAACTACCCAGATACACAAATTCTTTTACTTGTTGTAATCTCACGCTGCTAATTCTAATATTGCATTCTGAAACATTTTCATCCCCTTTCAATCAGCATCACTTTCGTCTTACTCACATTCACTTTCATTCCTTTCCTTTCAAACGCTTCATGCATAACTGTTACCATCTCTTGCAATTGTTCTGCCGACGAGGCTAGGAGTACTTGATCATCGGCATAGAGAAGGCGTTTGACAAGTAACTCATTCTTTCTTAATCCACATTCACTACCTTTCAAATCAAGTAAACAATTGACCATGAACAGGTTGAACAGCCTAGTAGACGCTACACAGCCCAGTCTAACACCTGTACGAATGTTAAACCTTTCGGTATATGCCCCGTTTATTCTAACGCAAGCGCTGCAATCCCTATACAAAGATTGTAACACACCTTTGTATAGGGATTGTTGCACACCCCATACATGGACAAAGTTTTCTACAGCTCATTTCTTACTACCCTATCATAAGCCTTTTCTAAGTCTACGAAGGCGCAGTACAGTTTTTGCCCTTTTGCTAAGTATTTTTTTTTATTTAAATATTATCTCTTAACTTCTTATATTCATCATTTACATTTACATTTACTTCTTACATTCATTCATTTTCTTCTTGCGGTCTTTCCACCTTTATTCTTTCTGTGGCTGTTGTAGGCTGCTTCACGCGGTGTTGCCAACATTTGAAAAGACCCCTTAACCTGCTTACTACCAAGAAGTGGTCTGTGTCTACAGCACCACCACGGTATGCTCGTGTGTCTACAACTTTATTTTTGAGCCTATCATCCACAATTACAAAATCAATCATACTTACAGCATTTTCCCTCTGCCAAGTATACGTGTGGATCTTTTTGTGACAAAACATTGTGTTTGTCACGCAAAGCTTCCACTCCAAACATACCTCTAAAACACTTACGCCTTTTTCATTCACCCTACTATCACTAAAACTACCTAGAACACTTTCATATCCATCACGTTTCACTCCTACTCATCCATTAAAGTCACCTAACATAATAACTTTTTCATTCTGCTTCACCTTCCGTAAAACGTCTCTCATGCTATCCCAAAACTCCTCATATTCTCTTTGGTCTCCCTGGCATCCCCTTAATCCCATGTCTGGGGCACAAACCCCTATTACAAAAAGTCGAGCCAATCCAATTTTTAGTCGCATCCAGAGAAGTCTTGAGTTTACAAATTCATACTCGATCTTACATTCATCAATTCTAGTGGCCCCTACTTGTTGTTGATACCCCTGACCAGTACGCCGTATATGTGCTGTGCTTGGTGGTTCCGCATCCCTTTCGTTTCGTTTCACATACACACAACACATCTATGTATATATTATTATCATCCATCATCTCACATACTTCATCAATTTTACTATCCATCCCTGCTCTCACATTCAGCGTAGCAAAGCGGCTTTCCTCAGTCCGCTTTTCGCCCTTTCGTGAGACATGGCGTGATGGGGTGCGAACCGCATCGTCGTCATATATTAGATTTTTATTAATTTTTGAAATCATAGGTATCCCACGAACAGCAAGGAATGTACTTAGGTAGAGCCCCGCATACCAGGACAAGGCTACTAGCACTCAGAGGGCGCCAAACCCAATAAGGGCAAAACGGCACACTTACGACCAGACTTGCCTCTGGCCACGCATCCATCGGGACGGCCGACCTTAGATTGGCGGGAAGAGGATAAAGGACAGTGAATAAGTGAAGGGAATGGATGGAAAGATTTGGGTAGGAATTGGGTTATAGGAGGACACTGTTGTCACGGAAGATGGGGGATGTGACAACCGCAGCTCGGGGCACCGTGGTCGCTTACCCGTATGTTCACTAATCAACTACCGGACAAGTAATCGGTGAATACCCCCTGACGGGAATTTCACTATATATTTTTTCCAAAGTGTTAAGGTTGTATCGACTTTTGAATTTCAAAAGAGTCGAGATTCTCGAGACTAAAAATACATTCGAATATAGAAAATGCCAAAAATTATCGAGACTTTCGAAATTGTGGCAACCGATATTCCCGGGATGCAAACCCTAATTTCAATACCGATCACATTGTATGGTGTATTTACTAGCATATAAAATAGAGATCAGCATACTCACCATGTATGATAAATTGATGACGATAACGTCGTCATCTTCCGAAAGTGAGCCGCTCTCGTTGGCAGCGAAATGAAATTTCTTCTTCAACATGTATTTCACCGTGTCGTTGGGACCGTAGCCTAGGATGGTTTTCTCGCGATATTCTCTGTGAAAATGTCGAATGTACAGCTTCACGCTTTTTTCAATAACCCGTATCCACAGACAGAAAAATATTGCAGAGAATAAAACTGGACTTTACGGCTACATAATTTACATATAAAGATCTATAGGGAGTAAGAATGTGACAATAAGATCGACCAATTTTAACCGTAATAAAAACAATCTAAATTTGGATTGGACCAAAATTACTTTACTCTGTACAAAACATGGACGGTCAATATAAATGAATTGCATCCCACTGGTTGTGCAAAAGTGAGCAGTGGATATATTTGTGGATAACAGTGGATTATAGACTATATAAATAATATATAATATATAATAGGGGTCTTTGACGATTTCCCGTAATTCCTTCTCAAACCAATCAAGATCGTTCCGTCAACAACGCCTTTTCGGCGGTCCCTGCCGTTGCCTTCCATTCTCTGGCACCCAAGGAGTGACGACGTTTGCCCACTTCTCGGTTTACGTGGCTAACGTGGTCCGCTCAATCCCATTTGAGCCTGGCTGTTTTGCTACCCAGATCAGCAATGCCAGTCATCGAACGTAGCATTATATTGCGCACTCGGTCAATGCGTTTAAAGCACAAATTGTTGCGTTTGAAGGGAGTTCAAATAACATCTCTCGGAACCCAAGCCAACCTCACCGGCCCGTGTTACACTCTACCGACCAACAAACGCGGCTCTGTCTCTCCGTCCGCCTATCAACTCGCACAGGACCAGACTTTTGTAGTTACCTTATAAACTGACTTTGTTTTTAAAACTTACTTGTATACATAAGGGCCAACTTCAGCAAGTTTAGGCTGCTCGCCGTTATTGATTTCATCTCTATTAGTTACGTTGAACACGTATATTTTGAAGTCCAGAGGCACGGGCATTTTCTTCCATTTATCGAACATTTGCGACGAACTTTCGATTTGAATATTCTGAAAAAAAATCTATATTATTAGAAAACATTTATATTTTTTATTTATACATTTATACAACAAAGACACAATACCTGAATACAAAAAAAGTCACGACTTGTGGACCGATTTACCGGTTTACCGGTTTAGGCATTCTGTGACTTTGGAGACCCGTGCCCACTATTTGCAAATACGTAGCTTGATAACAGTGGTCATGTATAGTTAGTAATTGGAAACAAATTGACGTGTGTCGTTAAATATACATAACTCAAATTTTAAGTAACAGAAAATTACAAAGATTTAAAGAAATTTTGTTATAAAACAATGATTGTAAGATCTTCATATATTTAAATGACTAAATTACGGTGTTGTAATCACAAAAATAGCCATTATGCAGTCGTTTATTTAATTTTTCTATGCGAATTCACGTGTTATTTGACATTCATTATTTTTTGGTTTCTTATGCCAGTATTTATTTAATATTCATTACTTTTTGATTTCTTATACCAGTATAAAAATTTTATGATTACGATTATACGTAGGGCGCACTATAAGTTTCCAGAATGAATAAGAAAAAAATAGTATAAACGGTCAGAAATGAATTTATTGTTTCACAAAATATTCTCCGTTAGCGTTATTGCACTTTTTCATACGAATGAACCAATTTTGAAAACATTTATGCCACTACTCCATGACAATCTCTGAAACATATTTTTCATACTCTTCGACAGCCTCTTCAGGTGATGAAAATCGTTGACCGCGTAACTGGTTCTTAATTTTTGGAAATAATTATAATAATTGGAAATAAATAAAAGTCACAAGGTCGGGCGCGGGATGGCTCATAAGGTCAACGTTGTTCACCTTCAAAAATTAATTTGTCTGTCTGGCCGTGTGAGAACTGGCATTATCGTGGTGCAAGATGATACGGCGTTTAGGTTATTTTTACGGAGTTTGTCAATAACTTCCGGCAAACAAATGGTCGTATACCAATCACTATTCACGGTACAACTATTTTCCAAAGCAACAGTAGCCACGTGTCCAGTTGTTATTAACAAAAAGAAGCAATCATCCGCTTAGAGGCACTTTGCACGCGCGCCTTTTTGGTTGGTTTCGGCTCATCTCGAAAGACCCATACGCTCCATTGCTGCTTTGTTTTGGGACCGTAACTATAAATCCATGTTTCGTCACCTGTTGCTATGGCCCACACCAAATTGGGACGCCCCTTAGTTGAATCTGGTAAGCGTGGCATTGCAACAAGGACGCGATCCGTTTTTTGAGCCTCAGTCAAATTGTGTGGAATCCACCGAGATCACAGCTTTTTCACACCCAAATGTTTGTGTAGTATTGATTGTATTTTACTCATGCCTATGCCTGAAGATGCCCACCATGTGACATACCATGAATCTCTTGCTATGTCACATGCCTGTCTGTTTTGATCATACGGCGCACAGCATCGATGTGTTTGTTGTTCACGGCAGTGGACGGGCGACCATCACGAAATTCGTCACTGAGATTCACACGACCGCGTTTGAATTCTGCAAACTAGCTATAAATAGTCGTCTTGCATGGTGCTTCATCCCCAAAGCAGTTTGAAGCCAAGCGAAGCTCCGCTGAGCTGTTACATTACACTTAAAGGCGTAGAAAATCATCACGAGTTAAACCCATGGTGATGTAGATAACCAATTCCTAAAATGACGCCACAATGTAAAAACAAGTGACAGTCAGATGAAACAAACTGTATTCTACAGCCAGAGAGTTCCATTTTCAAATGTTGTAATTACTTTTAAATATTGTTTATATAAGTGGCCGTTCCGGAAACTTATAGTGCGCCATAATATTCTGGTGCGCAGCCTGTGTTCCTAAGTTATTTTTCAAATACAAGAATATAAATCGACGTTCCAGTCGTTCCAGGAAGCAACTTTGCTAATTTGATCTTTATGGGTAAAATTTGCTAAACGACCTGTTTTCGCAGAAAATTTGATAGGAACCTGTTATATCGTCATTTCCCGAAATCGTGTTACCTAATTATTTTTTTAAATGTCGAGGAAGGAAGTTATTTTCTATTCAATTGATAACAATTGAATAGAAAATAACTTAAATAAATATTAAATAAAAAATAATTTTATTTTTATTTATTAGACTTAGAATATCTTGTATCATTCAAAATAACTTTATTTTATTTATTTTATTTTATTTTATTTTATTTGGGGAGCTTACAGCTACTTTTACAAATTACATATCTAAGTATGCAAAATAATGCCAATTAAAAGCTTCCACATATATACAGAAAAATTATAAACTA